CGGGCTGGGGGCTGGGCGGGTTGGGTGGGGAGGCATCCCACCGTCTGTTGTGTGAGTTGCAAGCACTAGACACTCAACATATGCTATATCTTGGGTGTTTGGCTTGCGTCACGTGACTGAGTCATGAGATTTGTGGTCGGCCTAGTAGAGGGAGCTGATCCTGACGGCTTTCCACTGCGTGAAAGTGCAGGAGGCGCCAGCACTGGCAACTCAGCGGACACAAGACAGGCGTGGGTCAAGATGCACATCATCTTGGCGGAGCGGCGTCGCCAAGGCCAAAAGCCGATGTTTCTCGTTGTGTTTTTCTTTTCCATGTCGGTCCGTATTTATCATATCGGGCCATCACAAGTTCGTACAAGTTTGCACAAAGCTCATAAGTCCAAAAGGCTCATGGCCTAAAGTCCCATGACCCGAAAGAGAAGTTGTTTTTGCATTTTTTGTTGTTCTTGCATGTCTAGGTCATTGGGCCACAGAGGCCCTGCAAACTAGCGTGGCGGTTCGCCTGACCTGCGTGTCAACGTTCTTGGTTTCACGATCATTCCGCGCCACATGGCGCAGGCTAAGCCGGACACCTGACTGTGAAGACCTCAAGCTTACCACTCCAAAGCTTAGCCAATTGCCTACAGCCTACGGCTTGACTATGCCTCTTGCCAATAGCAAATTGGCCTGCAGCCCGTGGCCTGTAAGTACCGCCAAGGACATTACGACTGAAGATGTCTACAACTACCACATGACTCGCGACTACGACTATGTTGCGCTCTACGATCTTGACTCTGGATTTAGACTAGGCTAGCCTGTGGGAAAGCTGCAGCGCAAGCCGTTGAGCGTCAGGTCGAGCAAACACAGTCGCACTGTCACACATGCAAGTGCAAACACAGGAGCGGTTGCCACCAGACTATAGGATCACAACTTGGACTTTAACTTCCACGTAAGGCTGCGGGCTTGAAACTGAAAACTTGAAGCGTGTACGCTTTAAGCTTAAAATAAATTAAAGGAAAAACAATTTCGTGGCTAAGCCTATGATATGACTCTGACTATGACTCACTGGATGCTATGCCTATAAAAGAATGGCTGTGAGCTATGAGCTAATTCTAGGAAAAAGAGACGGGGGGATAGCGCCGGACCTGGAAAAAAGACTGGGGGCTAAGTAAGGGCGCCCTTTTGAACCCGCTTGCGATTTGCATTTTCTTCCAGGAGAAAGGGCCGGTGGCGATTCAAGGCAATTTTTTGTGGACGATAGTTTCTGCTTCTCAACCAGGGAGAAGCGATGCGTACGTCGGACATGCCACGTTGGTCTGACTATCATCATCATCATGGATTCTCTCAGCCGGGGCGCGATTCTGTGGCCGATCTGCCCCAAGCCAGAAAGGCGTCGCCGTGGTGCCAAGCACTTCCAGCCCGGGCATCCCTGCTAGACAGATGTCAATGTGACTGTGATGCGCGCACATGGCCCTTCGCCTATGCGCATAGACGCATGCCCATTCAAGGCGCTCGCGCTGGCTAATGTGCGTCACAGCCGTGTTTACATTAGTGGAGGCGCTGTCATTTGTCCGCTTGGTTTTCCGCTGCGCGGTAGCACTGTGCGACGCAGTGACGCGCGCGTGACATACATCTCACATTTCAACATCTGTTTTGAAGCTGCTCTTGCGCTTACAAAGCGCTGATAAAGAGAGCATCAGTTTTGTGAGCCGACTTGACTCGCACGCAGTTGCGATGCTCCTGTGTGGCCCACGGGCATTGCTTCAGGGAGGGAACTTCTTCGGCTCCAGCTTGTCTGGCAGCAGTTTCACGGCGTCGCTTTTCGACACGTTCACAGAAGCGCAGTTGACTGACTTAACTGGCAACGCGTGGCAGACTTGAATCCATCTCCCCGGAACCACTCGTTTAAAAGTTTCTTTGCTGGATTGGGATTGGCTCGGCGTTCGTTGGCTTTGGCGTTGGCCCGACATTTATTGGTTGGCTCGTTGACTCCTGGCAACGTTGGGTTCAATCTCGGTTTGTGCGTGTGTGTAGTGTGAGTGCGAGGTGACGCGTGGATTGGTTGGGGGCGAGTTTGTGTCCACCAACCAACCGGCCCTTTCAAAAATCAAGGATCTGAAGCTCGACTCAAGACTCAGACTAAAGTTTCCACTGATGATTGGTGATTCATGCCTTTGGTTTCAAGCTTTCAAACCACAGCTGGTCAATGCTGCTTGTTTTCCATAGGCCCACTGTCCACAGTACAGGGTTGGCGGGGTTGGCCTTCGACCCCCGACTCGTAGTTCGTAACTTCGTGCTCCGTGTGATTCATGATTCATTATTCACATGTCAGCCAATGTGTTCAAAATGACTAGGTGCGGACAGGTGTGGTTATGCATACAAACAGGTTTAGCTTTGATCAAAATATATTTCTGAGTATGCGTTCAGGGCTTCAGGAAATCCAGGATAACAGGATGCTACCTGATACGAACATATAATATGAGTTTGGTATGACTCGATATGACACGATTCGGTCGTAGTATTGCTTCTAAAGGCGTATAGACTCAAACATGTAACTACCATTGATGTAACCCTTGTGCAATATCATGATGTATGTATCATATGATATGTAAGTTATGATTAAGAATCACAGTATGATGGCTCACACGAGAGTCATACGAAGGTCACTACCCCTCAGATGGTATGGCCCGGCGTGGTCCGCTGGTTCCTGTGGTTAACCAACAGTTTGACGCACTCAAAACACAACTGCAAGTTATGATCCCACGAAAGCATGGTACACTTCATACGACGCGCGACTAGTGTGTTTCAGACATGACGTTGTCCGTGTATCACGCTATGTCTATGACTTATCTATGACTATTGGCCCAGGACTCCTAAAATCTGCTTGTGAAGAAACACTAGCACCTTGTTGATTGAAGCGAAGACACGTTTTATGCTGTTTGTTGGTGCTGTCAGTGTGTTGCGCGCCAAGGTGCTCCGGCGTTTCGCAGGTAGAGGAGGGCGCAGACATTACCGGTCGCGCGTAGAACCCGCGCTGTCTGCTGTTGCTTGCCGGTGATGGCACGATGGTCTCTGTGTCCTTCCCCGACAATTCGCATATGGCAGAAGTTGACTTTTCACATGTGGTCGGCATGGCCCAAGCTTGCAAGACATTTCAATAGCAAGACGCATGTCGATTCAGAAAGAACCGCTGTGTTTCGTATTTATTGTTTGGTGAACTGTCAACATGTAGATTCAGAAGACATTGATAGTATAGGCCGTTGACAACACTCTTGCAGCCCTGCGGACATGGTGAATCCGCGCTGTGACGCTGTGCGCTTTTGCTCGCCGGTCCTTGCCAGTGATACTCCTGGTCGTGATTCCTTCAATGCCCTGGCCCTAGCTAACCTTGCAACATGTTCATTTTATCACCTTACAATACTCAACACTCAGTCGAAGAAGGCAAACCCTGCGGGCATGGACAGGTGTGCCTTTGAAGTTCGCGGTGTGTGCCTTTGCTTGCGGTGTGGGCCTTGGCCCGCCCTCTCGTGATGCAAATAGAGAAGTTTGTGCTTGTGTTGGTCCTTTTCGCAACTCAAATAACGCAGGCCAGTTGGAGAAACAACAGCTAAGAAGGCGAAGCCGTACACCCCTTTAAACCTTCTGTTCAGCGCAGAATCCTCGCTGTACGATGTTGCTTTTTCAGCAATCAACACGCGATGACGTATCCGTGCGGAGAGCTGTGGTTCAAAACAAAGGGCGGCGGGTTGACATACTCGCAGAGACTCACAAGACTCATAAGACTCATGACTCATGCATGAGTGCATGACGCACGCAACAAGCCGCAGGACAGCGTGTGACGATTGACTCCGTTTGACTACGACGACGGCTCTGACTTAGCACTACCCAGTCACACACAGCTCATGTCACTTCTCACATATGTCATATGTCATTTGACACGTCAGGTCCTTGTAGCAGTTCAACATTTGCAGATAGTCGCAGCCTAGAGTCGCGGTGATTTAGCCAGTCCGTATTGTGCGCAATTGACATCCTAGCAAATGTGTTGTCCGTTCGTTGTCCCGTCATCCTCCCGTCGTCCACTTGTCGTCCACCCGTCGTCCACCTGTCGTCCTCTTGTCGTCCACCCGTCGTCCACCTGTCGTCCACCCGTCGTCCTCTTGTCGTCCACCCGTCGTCCACCTGTCGTCCACCCGTCGTCCTCTTGTCGTCCTCCCGTCGTCCACCTGTCGTCCACCCGTCGTCCTCTTGTCGTCCTCCCGTCGTCCACCTGTCGTCCACCCGTCGTCCACCCGTCGCCCACCCGTCGTCCACCCGTCGTCCACCCGTCGTTTTCTTGACACACTAGCCCCGTACCACACGTAGCTGTATGACTAGAAACCACTCATTACATGTCTGCTGGACCTAGCTAACTTATAACTTATTGTGGTTTAGTGGTTGAAATCCCCACTTAACAGCTGAAATTCAATTTGTTGCTCCCCTTCCAACGTCAACCAAGTTTGAGGGTACCCCTTTTTCGTGGTTTCAAAGGTCCCCTAAAGACCCCCAATTCGGCGCCACGGGGGTTTGCGTCCATTGGATCTCCACTTCAAAGTGAAGGTTCATTGCCGGGGGGTTCCCGCGGGTGAATTATGTTATGGGATCCATCCCAAGCTCCATCCGCCTACGGGAATTTTCACTTGCATGAGTATTCGTTACTTGCATGAGTATTCACTTGCATCAATTTAACACAAAGCTTTGTATGAGTATTCGACATATTTTTACTTTTGTGTTAAAGGGAATCTACCCTCCCTCTAACATGGCAGTGAGAGGGCATCGGGAAGTTTTCTTTCCTCTTGAAGGGACCCCCTGTCAGGTGCCATGTTAGTGGGAGACAGCGAAAAAAACAAATACACTTGGTTGTTACAAACACCAAGTATTTGATATTTTCACGTGTTTGTTTTGTTCGCTTGGTTGCTATTCGTCATTTGCTGAGCACGTCCTTTTTGGCCCGGGCGCTTCAGCCTATTGCTGCCCTGCTGCAGGTCTTCGCCGCGAACTGGTTCTGCCCCCCCTGCGGGGACTGTGTGCGCGCCTTCGACACGCCGGTGTGGCAGCGCAAGGCGACGCGTCGCGAATCGCGAACGGCAGGGCGCCCCAAACCTTAGTGGCGTGAACCCACTGAATGTGGAGACTTGTTTAATTCCCATAAAAATATAGGCCATGTATATATCTTGGTGGCTCCCAGCCATTCCCTTAGCCTTTTTGCCATTTGGTGTTTAGTGGTAGTTTCCATTCAACCCACTAAAAGTTAAACTTTTAGCAGGGGATCTGAGGGCAGCCCAGGTGTATATATATATATATCTATATATTATACATATACGAACACAACAATTTAAAGTCGTTGCATACACGTATTCTATGTTCCAGCCTTTTTTGCGAGTTGTGTGTTGTTTTTGAGCACTTCCGTGGTTGGTTTACCATATGTTTCATTCCCTTTGGACGGATTCCTTTCTTCCAGTCGGTCCACATGAAGATGGAGCCCCGACCGGGCGCAGTGGCAGGTTCGCTTCATCCAGGGCTTGGCGGATGAGCAGGCGGGCAAAAACTGGAAACGGATCACTCCTGGGTTGGATCCTGAACCCCTAACCCTTTGCGGGCGGGGGGGGATTCGTGGCTGGGATATGCTGGCATCTATTTTAAAATGATGTTGCATTTTAATGTTCAAGCATATTATACTCTTTCCGAAATTGAAAACCCAGCCCTCACCTCAGATAGGAGTGTTTGCTCTTGACTGTGTGAATGGCTCACTTTGCAAACAATGATGTCAAGATAAGCAACCCACTGTCGCTCTAACACTTCTTCACTTCCGGTTTCCAATTTGCGCGGAGCCCGGCTGGCCGGCGATTCCGACACATTCAACATGTGCAGCTTGAGAAGACTTCTTTGGCAACAGCGGACTTATCAAGGCCAAGAAGGTCGCCCTGAAGATCTATTTTTTCTCCTCAGAGCCGTAACTGGGGACTCCGTCAGAACTATTTCATATTTGCGGTTGGATTGCCTATGAAACAGAATCAGAACCCGGAGTCAAGGCCTTTTAAATATGGGGTCACTACCCCAAAGCAAGGGGTGGCAAAGCATTGAATTTGTCATTCGGGTCAGAAGACGCTTGCAGCAACATGTTTCTTTCTAAGCAAAGGCATGGCAATGCTATAGCCTGTGGTCCTCAATACCCCGCAGAACCAACGTTTGTTTTGTCACGGGTTTGCGGCTGTGGACTTCCTTTCGAGTTGGATTTTGAATCAGAAGGAAAGGACATGTAAAAGAGCTTGCAACTGACAACATGACTGGTCGATTGTTACTTTGGGGAGGTTACATTGGGGGGCGGGCACCGAATAGGCTGCTAGTGTCATGTACATACAGCGGACTAGTAGCCCGCTCCCAAGACGCAGGGGGGCACCCAAATTTTCACGTCTCTTCGTGGGGCAAGTGAGTTTGATGGCAAAAGATGGCAGTGGCATAGGAGCGGTATGGGTGTGATATGGGGTTCCGGCTTTATATAGAGGATTACAGCGTGCCCTGGGGTTTGTGCCTGGAACAATGACGTTGGGTAAAAGTAGGCAGCGCAATTCCCCCAATGTTAGTTTTATCATCCCCCTGACTTACCGACAGCAATGGGATTTCTCTGTGGATTTTAAGTCGGAGTTGTCCCTCCCAGAAGTGTGTGTGTTTTGTGTGTGGGTGTGTGTAGATTTGGCAAAGTTTACTTCGCACCAAGTGTCTTATCAAACAGTATATGCATAGGGTGTCATTCATCTCGATCGGCGCGGATTTTGTCCATACCTTTTTCGTCTTCGTTCTGGCGCAGGACACCTTTCAAGAGGTCGCCGCGAACCTTGTGGAGCCAGGGGGTGCTTGGGAGAGGGTGAGGTTTTCTGAAATGGCAACCTGGAATCTCCTTCTGACCCTTCAAAAGTTGGGTCACCCAAAAGAAAGGGGTCATAGCAACTGTGTGATTCGCGCCAGAAGACGATGGAGACTCCTGGCAGTGGAGATCTCATGCCTGGACGCGGCCCCCTTCGTTTCATCCCGAAAGCACCCTCACGAAGAGTTGGCACGTCAGTGGCTGGTGACACGTAGCTCCACAGAACTTGATGTCCACCAGAGTTGCCGCGTACGCTGACCATATTCGGGGGGGTTCCGCATGGTGAAATTCAGTAAGGCCTATGTAACCTTGCTGACAATCTTGGCAGACTGGCATACCCAACAATCAACGGGTTTTGGGCACTCCGGCTCAGTTGTACTTGGCACATTTCCTACTGACCACTTCCCCAGCTTCAAATATGGATCACAAGGCGCCCATCCAATCTACCGACGTGTCGCATACAAAGTCCCTTGCACCCTTTCCACCTCGACGATTATAAGTTTGTAGTGGGTTACAAGACTCGGCAGTTAGGAGATATTCCCATGAATAGTGCAGAGAATCCTCATCAGGTGTCTCTGAACCCCTTAGTAGAGATCCATGGACCCTCCCGAAGCCTTCCAGGAAATCAGGACTAAAAGCGGCCGCAAGCTCTGGTAGTTCGCCGAAGAGTCTTTGTTTTGGGTTTTCGAGATCCTCTCATCAAAAGTCCGTCCCAGTGAAGGCCCTAAAAATCGCAAGTCTTGTAATTGGCCGATCAGCCGGGAATTGTGTGGTATGTGCGATGCGGCCAAAACTGTGTCTCAGAAAATTACACTGGGAGACTCACTAATTGTGCCAGTTCGAATACGGGAACATGAGTGTGTGTGTGTGTGAGAACCCTTTGTATGGTTTTCTTTGAAAGGAAGCCAGAAGGAAACCACCCGTTTTGGGCTCCCGCTATTTTGATACATACCCACACATTTGGACCGTGTCTCACATGGCTGGTTCGCTTGCAAAACCGCCATCGCTACAGCTGCTGAACCGTTTCTGACCTGATCCTTGAGGTCAATCATCTAGTTGTGGAGTCATGATTTGATTATTTTTGGGATGTTCAAAGTCAGGAGCCTATGATTGTGTGGCCACCAGTTCTCCCCTCTTTGTGTGGATCGCTACCTGGTTGGCTAGGAAATGAGCTTCCCGTTGAACCCTGACATACCCTGACAAAATCAAGCAAATGTGGTTGTCCTGTTAGTTTCCCTTTAAATAACGCTGAACAGGGTACATATATGATTGAGCCTTACAACAATCGCACTCAAATGGACTCGTAGGATGGATGATTTCCAACTGCTACACCAGTGTTCCTTATGCTTTCCATGGTGGTTTTGAGCATCTACCTTGTGGTTGGCATTTGGAAACAAATGGGGGGTGTCCCTTTAAAGCAGCCCCAAAACGGGTACAGAGCCTCAAACAACGGAAAAACAAACGCAGGAGCTGGGCAGCCTGCTACCTCCGGACCAGGACCGGGCCGCCAATTTGTCGAGGCTTTGTCAGGGCAACTCGAAAGAGCGGCCTTTGGCAAGGCCTTCCAGAAATGTGCCAACTAAACAAGGAGAAATACACAGCACAAAAAGAACCAAGGAATAATACATACAAAATAGGTGATAGTTATGTTGCTTGTTCAATGCAGCAATTGATGCCATTTGTTTGTCATATGTCTTTCAACCCCGCCGGCCGTGATTTGAGATGGATGAAGCACAGTGGTTGATTTACCTGCCAACTGGGACCGTGGAGTTTGTAACACCCGGTTGCCCAGTGAGCCCAGTGGTGCCCTGGTTTCTATTTTTTGTTTGGGAAGGGTTCCCCCTTAAGTCAACCAACCAGAAGAAGATGCCCTTTTTTTCCCATGGCCACTGGGCATCTGAGAAGAGTGTAGCGGTTCCGCTTAGGAGCATCAGGAGGGCGTCTTCGGTGTGAATCAGAGTCAGACCGTCGTGGTGAACCTGGACGCGTCTCCTGGCAGAGAGCCCAGTTGGACAGAGGTTGGTTAGTTGAGCAGCGGCCGAGACCCCAAATTTTGATTCCTACTTGTTTTGATTGCGGTTGTAGGAAGGTCTATATAGGCCATCATGTATGCTGGTAGAGCCAAAATGGATCTGGGCGCTGCTCAGGTCGTTTGGGTCAGGTGGTAGGTTGGTTCAAATTTGCCAGTGCTATGTGGGTTTGACGGGTTTTTGATCCTGACATCAATGATGGCTCCTAAAAAGCAAAGGGACTGAATTAGAGGAGTTGTCTTGGTGTGTCTGGGTTTGGTCCAGGGTCCGAAACAGCAGGAGTTCACCGCTCTCTAGTTGGGTGTTCGACCTGGTTGCTACACACTATCCGGTGCACGAAGTGGATTATAGCCCAGGTGACAAACTACGTATGGACTGGGCCAAACATCAAGTCCAAGGGTTGATTGGGGAATAATCCCGACCCAAACTGGCCTAGAAATTTTCTGGGCATCTTCACTGGAGAGGGTGTGAATGGAACCCATCTCACGAACTGGTGGTTTGGATTTGGTTTGGGGATTTGAGCCCCTGGTTCTGGTAAAGGCTAGCTGGGAACCCACCTCTACCTGCCAAGCCGCAAGCTGAACTGGTGGGGAGGGATCTCATCTGAGGAATCACGAGTTCAACGGCCTGCTGAAGGCATCTGCGAGCTCTGTTCATTTTGCGCGCGTCGCGGAATCAATTTTGCTTCTCCCTAAAAGCCCTTTGGACCCTAAAGATGAGGGCGTGTTGACTCCCCAAAAGTGAGCCGCTGGAGGCGTGTACTAGGTCCCCCAGTGCCCTTTTACCAACTTTTTTGGGGGAGGGTTCCCCTGTCCCCTACTAAAACAGACTACAGAAAAAAGGGTGCCCTTATTCTAAGCTCACTGACCTAGTTGCCGCTCCTGACACGTGGCGTAACTCGGGTTACCATTCGAACCTGACTGAGTGCGGGGCGCAGGGTTCCATGTGGCTTGAGGGGTACCCGCTTTGGGGTGGTTTGAACGGAAGCCAAAGGCAAAACCACCATTTGCGTGCGGGTCCCCCAAAACGAAGACACCATCTCAGTGGGAGGGTCCCAGCCATCCGGTTCCTTAGCTTTTTAGCCTTTTAGTGCTTAGTGAAGTGGTAGTTTCCATTTAGCCCAATAAAAGCTAGTCACTTTTAGGGGATCTGAGAGCAGCCCAGGTTAGTGGGAGGGTGCCCACTTCAGTGGGACTGCGAGCGCGCCCGCAGGAGCTCATCTACTACGCTCCCTTCGTGTCCCAGAACTCCTACTTGATTGCCACTTTGGCTCGGGGGGGATGATTGGCCAAGTTCGCAAAGTTTGAGGGATATGGCTGGCTGTGGTCAAAACCAACAAGATCCCAATTTTGGTTGGTAGGTGAATTCACCAACCATTTTAGAAGCTGTTTTGGTGGGGATTGGGATGTTCACTGGGGGTGCGGGAGTTTGACCGATCGCCATATGACTTCTCAGCCAGAAGCGGAGTTGACCATGATCCGGTACCCCCCAACAACTGCTTGTCGGACAGAACTTTGGAGTTTGGATAGGAGAAAAGCAGGCAAGTTGGGACCCGGGTGTTGGCAATTCCTTTTTTTCTGGTATTTGTCTCCACGACTTGCTAACTTACTAGACTTTTTTGCCACTGGTTTCCTGCGCCGTCGGTTACACGGGGTTTGTTTGTTCGGTTGAGCGTTCTCTCGAAGCAAACTTGCACGCCCAATATTTTGGAGGTGAATATGCCAGTCTGGAAACGGCCTCTGGTTGATGGTCAATGGGCTTGTCTCAAAATAGGCGAAGCTCCAGAAATGGAAATTTTCCAGTTTCCTTTGAAACGACCCAAAAACGCGTTCCTCAATGGGGGTTATACACTGGTGAGCCTCAACATTCATAGAAACCAGCTACAGACATTCACGGGATTTCCCATGGACTTGCCTGTCGCTGATTTCTCAGCAAAGTTCACACAGCCATTGAAAGGCCGCCTTACATGTTGGGCATTTCCCTGTTGCACGGTGCATCCTGGTATTCCCATGGTTGTTGGGAAACAGTCTTGACATGCTTGCTTATTGTGGTTTTTAGTGTCAACCAAGTGGCTTCCGCCTGTTTAAATGATGGAAGAAAGCACCTTTAGAGGGTACCCGTTTGCAGCTTGCTTTGATAGGACACCGAAAGAACAGGCACCATTTTGGGTTGCCTCTATTGTAACATAAAGCAGCCCTTCCTTAGGCTTGTTGATATGGAAATTAGCCCTGGTTTGGTGGACCCCCCTGTGCACTTCCATAAACAGAGTATTTCTGAGACCCAGTTGCTTTGTGCATTCAAAACAGATCGTGCATATGGGGACCCGTTGATCAGCAGGTCCTTTTCATGGGAGTGACCACTGGGGAAGAACACGAACAAACAAGGATATGTCCCACGGTATGGGAAAGTTGCCCATGGTAATTTGGGGGCCGAACGGAGTATTGATCAACTCCCAAATGTCATTGCTGTCCTTGAGAAAGTCATGACCCAGAACCGCAACCACCGGAATTCACCGAAGTCGATCGGGCCAGAACTCACTGCTTCGTGAGGGGAGTTGAAGCCCCTCTGGAAAGTGACAAACAAAGAACCCGGGTCACCACTGCTTTTTGGTTGCCGTACCAAGAGGATTTAATCGCTTGCAAAGGAAATTTGCAAATTGGGTGCTGGACTGGGTATCCTTTTTCTTCCCTGGTGGTTTTGAACCCACGCAGCTCACCCAAGCAAAGAGCGAGTTGTGCGAACTCATAGCCTTGTCAACCTATGAACCCAATAGTTTTTCTGTGACTGGGGTCTCCTTCAATTTTTATATGTGTCTGTTGTTGAGGATACCGGTACCCTCCAGAATTGTGGGCTAAGGGGAAATCAGAAGCACCACCAACCATTTTTCGAGATCCCCCCCAAAAAAACAACTACACCCATATTCAGACTAAATATATGCGACGAATCGAGTTCAATCCTGATTTTCTGTGGGCCATCATCCCGTCCCATAGTTGTCAGGGGCCTTTGAAAGAGGGGACCACCCTAAAACGGAACCCTATTGGCCCGAATTAGAATGCTGTGGGTCAAAAATGGGGTAACCCTAAACTGGCTTGCCCTGGTACATGGAAACATGGACTTAAACCCGCGGCTTCCTGGTGGTTTAAACTTTGACCCATACCCAAGACTTATTCGTGGCTATTATTGGCCCCTGGAAGTGGCTGGGACGAGGTCCAAGACGCCAAGCTGGACAAGATCTGGGGCACCCCGGGTCCCACCGCGGCCTTGAACGCCTTTCTGCGCCTGGCGCCGGAGGGCGAGTTTGTGGCGCCTCGAATCGAGAGGGCATTCGTTTTACTTCCTGAGTTGATGGGCTTATTAGCATGCTTTAGCAACTTTTGGGGTTAACTGGACTACTTTAGCGGTAAATAACGAGTTGCTTGTTTTGGGCCCATCCACCATCTGAGGTTCGAATATGGTACTTACTTGGATATTCGGCCAAGTTGGCACCCTCGAGAAGCACACACGGGGTAAGGATCGCTTGCAGCATCCTCACCTACCGAGAGACGAGGGTTGCATTTGGGGGGTGGGGTGGCAACCGTTTCTTTTTGTACCCAAAGGGTCCAAGTACCTTCTAAGGAGGTACTGTGCCCGCGTTCAACACCCGGAAAACCAGTAAGGGTACGTGGACCCGTCGGGATACATTTACTTGGATGATCGGCTAAGATGGAAAGTGTTTGCCACTGAATTAATCCACAAATCATAGGGTACAGTTTAAGGAAGCAGCCTTGTCAGGGGGTTTCCCTATCTTGACACACAGACACACACACACATCCATCCTTGGAAGGTACCAAGAAAGCGACCCCCTTGGACAACACACAGTTTGAAGCGGGGCGTGTAGCTTCCCGCTTTATGGCTCGGTGTTCATTAGCAACCGGGGCTGTCGCCGTACGGTTTAGGCCCAACGTGTGGTATCCCACGAAAGTTTCACTTGTAGCAAGGATCAATCAACGTAAGAGGGATGCCCTTCAGCCCATTGGCCTGTTGGCATGGCTTTATAACCAGGGATTTGAAATTTTCGGCATGTAAAGAGCACGCACACTTTTTGGGGGGTTAGGGTTTAGGGTTTGCAAGGTCGCGGGTTTATTGGTTCTTGAAGACACAGGATGACCTGGTGCCAATGCTGTTTGATTTGTAAGTGGCAGTCCAGCGGGCTGTTCGGCAACTGGTGCATCCCTAATGTCAACGTGGAGACGTGGGAGATCCAGCACATATCAATGTAGTTGTTATTGCCTTGCTCTCACGTCAGTTTGCACTTTTGATCAGAGAGGGCTGCCACTTGGAGACGGTGGATGTGTGATGCTCCGATGCTCCAACGCATATTAGAGTATGTGTAAAAATACGGGCGGGGGGGGGACCCAACACACGTTGCATTTCGCTTTCCCTTCAAACTTGAAACCGAGGAGAAACGGGCACCCCCTCAACACACGCTCACAGTCACAAACTAGGTTGCCCTTTGGTATCCCTTTCAACTTTAAACCAAGGGTAGATGGGTACCCCAACAAACGTGCACACAAACACAAACTCGCAAGCAAACACACACGCACACACACACACACATACCCACACAAACACGCAAACAAAGAATTACACAAGCACACAACAGCAGAAACACAAGCAGAGAAACGGGAAACGAAGAAACAAGCAACGATCAAGTAAGCAAGCAAGCAAGCAAACAAGCAATCCCACAAGCAAGCAAACAAACGTACAAACAGACAAACGCACGCACTAAAACATATATATATATATATATATACAAGCAGACAAACATTCAATGAAAGAAGCAAGCCAACACACACACACACACAAACAACCAACCAAACAAACAAACAAACAAACAAACAATCAAACAATCAAACAATCAAACAAACAACCAAACAACCAAACAACCAAACAACCAAACAAGCCAACAATCGAGCAAGCAAACCAACACACAAGCATACAATCAACAAGCAAGCAAGTAAGCAAGCAGGAAGCAATCAAGCACACATAGTGTCTTTCCGTGCGTTTGTGTGTGTGTGTGTGTCTTGTGTGTCATGATTTGTGTGTTGTGTGGTGCATGTTCTGTGTGTGTGTGTTTTGTGTGTTTGTGTGTAAGTCGTGTTTGGTTGTCTGTATGTGTGCGTGTGTTTGTTTGAGTGTGCCGGAGTGTTCTGTCTTTCCGTTCGCATGGTCGTGTCGCCTCGTTCTAAGGTGGAAGACGAGCTGAAGTCCCTAGCTTAGAGAAAAGTTGTTCTCTTGGGGCATGGAACAGCACACAATAGGACCACTCAAATTGAACAAGTGCAGAACGAGTTGGGTTTGTCTTTCTTTTTGTTCGGGAGGGGACCTTTTTCAGCCAGGTTTGAAGCGAAAACGATAAGGACAACAAAATAAATGATTCGGGTCTGTTGTATGGTTTGGCCAAAGCGCCGGTTTCCAGTCATTGAATCCAACTGCGGAATAAGATTGGCTCGGTATGGTCGAGAGATATCAGGACCAACGAGAGCAGCACGTTATGCAGTCAATGTCCTTGTTGCTGAGCCACTTAGATGTGGTCGCTGTCAAGCTTGCGGGATGGGATGAGCATGCCGTTGACTTGTGGTTCTCAAGCCGCGCCCATCTCATGCCCCTTTGTCACAAACACACCCTGAATTTGACATTGCCAGTGCTTGATGTTTGTGGAGCACGACAACAATCAACAAACACACCCCTTTGGCTCATTCTCTTGTTATGTATCTTTCTCCTCCTCTTTCTCTTCCTATTTCTCCTCCTCTTTCTCTTCATCTTTCTCCTTCTCAGTTTTCTCTGTGCCTCTCTCTCTCTCTGTGCCCCTTCCTCTTTCTCTTCCTCCTCTTTCTTTTCTCGGAATGGGTTCAGCGATTGGAACCGTGCGCACGGGCGGCCGTGCCCATTCCAGACATTCCATGTTTTTAGTTTCCTGACTAGTACATGAATACATAAGTATTAATTCCAGGGTTAACAAATCAGCTTGAAGCCGGGCGACCCGTCGCGAGGTTCCACGGGTACTCCCAGCACATCTACCTGCGCCGTCAGCGAGTCACGGTGTCGCACTCCCACTTCATGGATGCAGCGATGCAGATGTCGCGATGAAAAGGTGAGTAAAAAGGGCCCCGTTTGTAGACAGGGCGTATCTTGCCGCTTCTCAGTAAGGAATTACCCAGGGTTTTGGGAATTAACCTGACAGGGTTTATCGAAATTCAAGGAACACGTAGGATAAGTGACATGTCACCAGCAGATTTGGGCGGTCCCCTTGTGAATCAGCTTATTGCGGGGGCCTTGTTTGACAGGGTTTATCTTGCTGGTTCCCAGTAAGGAATGACGAGTCCGGGTTTTGGGAATGAACCGTTTGGGGATCCCCTCAAAGGAATCCACCAGTTAGATGGTTTATGGGGGTCGTTCCGTCTCATTCCCTGCTGATAAATTTCAAAGGCCCCTTCTGCCAGACCTCCAGTGGTGAAATTCCACGGTTCTTTTGTTTTAGAGGGGGGTTCCCTTTAGAATCAACCAACAAGAAATGAGTGTTCCCCATCGCCGCTATTTGAGTTGCAGCCCGGATAGTCCTTGTTGGAAAAAGAACATAGCGTATCCAAACTTGTGGGCTTCCTTTTGGTATGCCAACCTTGTCCCACGGCTCTTAGAAGGCTTGAAGGACCGCCCAGTCAGCGAGGCAGCTGAGCCAGGGATTCTCGAATAAAGGAAACCACAAGGGATCGGCTTTCTTGGTCATTCCAACTCATGCTGAGAACCAGCCAGTCAAACATGAGGAGTGGCCTTACAACGACCTCGTGACATGTGCCTGTGTTTTCCATTTTGATCCTTGCTCAAACGATACGTGTTGGCCATATTCAAATCGTTCAAATCACACGTTACCTGCTGGATTGGGGGGGGTGTCCCTGCGAATCAGCGTATTGTTGGGGCATCTTTTGGGAAGCCGTGCAGGTTGGGGGGGAAGGGTCTGCGAACCATGTCCCAAGTCTCGCCAGGCCAAACTGACACACACGCGGGTGCAGCTGCAGGAAGCAGAGGCCCTTAAGGGTTCCATCGATGGACAAAGCGGAAAACCATCAGACGTGCGATGTTCACTTTACCTCTATTCTTGTTTTTCAGCTCGGCAGGGAATGAGAATTGGAATGACCCCTATGAACCATTGTGGTCTCCTTCAGGGCATCCCCAGGTCCGTTCCCTCATTCCCTTCTCAGAACCAGCAAGTAATCGCTGGTTTGGTTATTTGTTGATGGACCTTCCCTTGGTTTCAAGAGGAACTGAGGGATTTGCTGGGTTCCTTTGCAGGCACCTTACGGTTCCCACACTTGCCTCGCTTGTCTATAGGTCCTTTTTGGGTTTCTTTCTGGATGCCTTTCTGGCTTCCTGTTTGGGTTCCTTTGCAGTCCAAATCCCATGCGGAACCGCCTCATAAGTTACCCCCCCCCCACCTGAATGATGTCCACCAAGATCCCTAATTAAAGCTCATGCCCATTTCGGGAAACACAAATCCACGCCACCCTCCGGGTCCGGCGCTGTAACTTTGTACTCGGCTGCCCGGTTGCTCTCCCGCCTGAGCAAAAGGTCGATCACCCTTTGAAGGATAAATGGAAATGCCACTTGATTCCAAAAGGTCTAAGGTCACCACAAAGACCAGCCAACTCTGCATGCTGGACTTCCAACCCTCATGCCCCAAATTGGTGGCTGAAACTCGTGCGATGTGAACCAACGAAGCCCTAAATGACACACCATCCCCTTGGAAATCGCCCGACGGAACTGGACATCGCCAGGGTGTACTCCCAGTGTAGAACTCACCTTGGAACACCCAGTTCGGGGGGTCTGAGGCCTCCAAAACCGGCCATACCCAAATGGTATACTTCTCACTCCGAGCACTTCTTCGACTCCAAACTGATCCATCCCCAAAAAAATCCTAAAGCCCCAGGACCGCAGACTGAGCCACTCCAACTTTTATCGGGCCATCCCAAAACCCATGGCCCGCATGGCCCAGTGGCCCAGTCATGGCCCCGGGACCCCCCGCTTCGTTCGCCCCATGCGCCAGGAGGTGATCCAAAGCTCCGCGGAGAAGGTGGCGCGCGCGGAGCGCTACAAGCTCCCCGCGGAGCGCCTCATCGAGGCGGCTGGGGAGTTGGGGGGCGGCTTGGGGGCGGTTGGGGGGCCGGGGGGGTGGCTTCTTTTTGCCTTTTTGTGGGGGGGCCGGGCGGGGGGGGGGGGATTGCGGTTTTGCGTTTGTTTCCCCAGTTTGGCTCAAGAGCAAAAGAAAGAGAGAGAGAGAGAGAAACGAAAACCAATGCTTTTGCATCTTGTTGTGTTGTTTGTTGTGCTTTTGTTGTTGCTGAAGTTGTTGCTTTTAGTTCGCGCCGGGAACATACCCACCCGCGCGTATTGTTTTGCGTGTCTTCGGTTTTTGTGCTTGAATTCTCAGGCAGTTTGACAAACGTGCATCTTTGTGGGTCTTTGAACATCCCGGTAACTAACTCAGTTCAGAGTAGAGCCGCGCATTTTTTGTTCTAGTCAGGACACATGGCAGGGAGACGTGGGCTGCCAGAAGCCGGGGCGCCGGCTGGAGACATGTCCTATCCCAGTGGAACTTGAAATCCGCCGCCTTCGTGGACTGGGTTGTTTGTTGTTTCGCTTGAGCGAGTGCACTTGAGCGGGTGTTCTTACCATGTGGCATGCGTGTGTGTGCAGCGCCAAGCGGGTGCACTTCAGCGAGTGTTCTTACCATTTGGCAGCGCAAAGCGGGTGCACTTCAGCGGGTGTTCTTACCATTTGGCAGCGCAAAGCGTGCTGAGCGGATGCACCTCAGCGGGTGTTCTTACCATTTGGCATGCGTGTGTGCAGTGCTGAGCGGATGCACCTCAGCGGGTGTTCTTACCATTTGGCATGCGTGTGTGCAGCGCAAAGCGGGTGCACCTCAGCGGGTGTGTGCAGCGCAAAGCGGGTGCACTTCAGCGAGTGTTCTTACCATTTGGCAGCGCAAAGCGGGTGCATTTCAGTGGGTGTTCTTACCATTTGGCATGCGTGTGTGCAGTGCTGAGCGGATGCACCTCAGCGGGTGTTCTTACCATTTGGCATGCGTGTGTGCAGTGCTGAGCGGATGCACCTCAGCGGGTGTTCTTACCATTTGGCATGCGTGTGTGCAGTGCTGAGCGGATGCACCTCAGCGGGTGTTCTTACCATTTGGCATGCGTGTGTGCAGCGCAAAGCGGGTGCACTTCAGCGGGTGTTCTTACCATTTGGCACGCGTGTGTGTTGAGCGGATGCACCTCAGCGGGTGTTCTTACAATTTGGCATGCGTGTGTGCAGTGCTGACCGGATGCACCTCAGCGGGTGTTCTTGCCATTTGGCCTGCGTGTGTGCAGCGCAAAGCGGGTGCACTTCAGCTGGCATGCGTGTGTGCAGTGCTGAGCACCTCAGTGGGTGTTCTTACCATTTGGCATGCGTGTGCGCAGCGCTGAGCGGATGGATCCCAGCGGGTGTTCTTGCCATTTGGCATGCATGTGTGCACCGCAAAGCGGGTGCACTTCAGCGGGTGTTCTTACTATTCGGCATGCATGTGTGCACCGCAAAGCGGGTGCACTTCAGCGGGTGTTCTTACTATTCGGCATGCCTGCGTGCAGCGCTGAGCGGGTGACTTCAGCGGGCGTTCTTACCATTTGGCATGCGTGTGTGCAGTGACCAGCGGGTGCACTTCAGCGGGGTTTCTTACCATTTATGGCATGCGTGTGTGGAGTGACCAGCGGGCGCACTTCAGCGGGTGTTCTTACCATATGGCACGCGTGTGTGTGCAGCGCTGAGCGGGTGCTTTTGAGAGGGTGTTCTTACCATGTTGGCGGGGGTAAAAACCACTTCGACTTGCGGGCGGGTAAATACCCGGTACCTTTTAGTTGGGGGACGTAAGGTGGCTCTAATTGTCAAATGAAGACCCTGTTCTAAACACGTTGGGGTCAACCGACCCTCCTCCAGAAACTTGAAGTTTGTTTCAGGTTTAGGGGACGGCGCCATGACTGGGATATCTCGTGTTTTTTTCCATGTAAGGCTTCAGTCGAATGAAATGTATTGCTTTTGGTTGGGGGCAGAAGCCGGCAGAAGCTGAGGCAAATGAGGTGCGGCAACTTTCGCTCTTCCTCGCTCCAAGCCACCAGTGCAACAAAATTGCTCACAATTCGTCGAATCCCTTGCCCACAACACCCAAGGGCTACTGTCGATGGACGAATTCATAAGAAACCCTGGAATGATTCGATTCTGCAAAGCATGCCAACAAACCTTATGGTTTCGAACACAGTAGCACCTGAGTGTTCAGCCAAGTTTCTATCTGGTTGGCGGAGGTGCAGGAATTTCAATCATGTTTCCGCTTTGTGGTGCGAAGGGGTTTCGCAGCCATCCTCTTCCATTTGCTGCGTATGTTTGTTTGGTGTTAATTTCCGTTGTTGTTGTTTTTTTTTTTTTTTTCCAGGGGGTTCATCACTGGGCATACTGTGGGTGGACGAAATCCTGGACCACCTAAGAAGTCCTAGAATGATGATTCCTTTGTCAATACCAACAAGCAAATGGTTTCCCGTGGCTTCAAAGTTGTTCGAAATGGATTTTGTCCATCCACAGTATCACACCAGCAAAATGGTCATCCTCCTTTCCAAGAATTGGAAAAGGGGCTGGCTATGCTTGTGCCTTAAACCTTAGCCGCAAAATTATGAGGAAATTCCCTGTTCAAATTTTCAATGGGCAGTTGGTGGGTCCAATTCAGTAGTTTGACACCTGTTCTGTTTTTTGTGAGGGGCCCTACGCGCAAATGGAACTTCGGCCGGAGGCATGGGAGCAGCAGCGCATGGAGCTTCGCCTGGAGCCAATCCCCGGGCGTTTCTCGGCGAGCAAAGCGGGCAGGAAGTGCTGGCGGTATGTGGGTATGGGTGAAAATGAGTCACCACCAGGAATTGGACCGCAAGTTTTAGTCCATGTCCATTTACCAGGGTTCCAATTTGGGTACCAAGTTTTTGACCCACAGCCATGTCTGGTCCCTCTACTCCAAGAACCTTCAGGTAACCCTCAGTTGGTGGTTTGGATTGGCGGTTTGGGGGATTGAACCCTGGG